TGTGTGTGTGTGTGTGTACGTGTGCACACGCATGTGTGCGTGTGCTTCGGTAGTGGGATTGAACCCAGGATCTCACACTCTCGCTTAGCTGTTTTCCACTCAAGGTTGGGACTCTAGTAACAGCTTTTTGCTGGTTAATTGGAGATAAGTCTGTCGGATTTGTCTTCCTGAATCTCAATCCTCAGCTCTCAGCCTTCTGAGTAGCTAGGATTATACGCATGAGCCACTGTCATACCTAGACTTTGTTCTTTAATTGTAAATTTTCCTGTGTTGGACATTAGATGAAAAACTAATATCTTTTCTCATCTGTCCTCTTGTTCCTATTTCCTTTCCGGTGTTAGCCTGCCTACTTTATTATTGTTGGGTATCATAAAGTTTATTTTTATTGTTGCAAAATATACACAAGATCTACAGATCTAACATAGAGTTTGGAACATGTAGCTCAGTGGCAGTACAATCCTACTCTTGTGCAACTTTCACCACATCCCTCTCTAGAACTTTTTTGAAGCAAGCAGCAAGTATAAGGCTCTGGTTACCAGGGCAACAGGCATAGTTGCTGCATTCCCTGATAAGACCTGATCTACCCATAAGATAGCCTTTTCTGACCCTTAAAGAAATATCTGAGGTCACAAAATGGGTCTCATCAAAAGGGGGCCTTAATAGATGCTGATAAAATTACTGGGGACAGATGAGCTGGTGCCAAGTCCTGGTAACCAGGGGGTTCATGCAGTAAGCAGAGCCCCCTCCCCCCCAAACACGTGTAGAGACAAGAACAATGACCCTACAATGACCTCTTGGGCCCAATGGTACCTGGGATCTCACTTCAAGACTATCCAGTCTCTAGGAGAGATGTACCAGATGCACATCAGGTACTTAAGCTTCACTTGTCAATCAACCTGTCCATTAGAATTTGAGCCAAATGAAGGGCATCTCATACCTATCTCTGATGTGAATAAAAACCCAGCCAAACAAAGCAGCAGTTTTTGAGAGGCTTGCTCAAGCCAGCTGCTCCTTTAAGGTCAGTCTTCCCTTTTCACTTTATGAAACTTTTTCTATCACTTGCATTAGGCTTCCCATCTTATTTGAATTCTTTTCCTGGGGACTCAATACATACATTTGTTAAATGAATTTACAGTAACAGATTACAAGTTTCGGCTGTGTTAACACTTTCATCTTGTGAAACTGCAGCTCTTCCCATCCCTTCCCCCGGCCCTGGCAACCTCTCAACTTCACTGCTCATGAAAGGCAATCAGGACTGCTTCCAGATTTCTGTCTTAGCCTGTTCATTATGGAATATAGAAAAGCCACTTACTTGAAAAAAAATTTAAATCATTATTGTAAGGGTGATATGCAGGGGGGCTCTAGTTACATAAGTTAGGTAATGAGTTTGTTTCTTTTTGGACAATGTCACCCCTTCCTTTGCTTTCTCCCTGTTTTCCCCTCCCATCCCTACCCACAAGTTGTGTAGTTCATTTTCAGCATCGTGTCCAGGGAGTACCGCTGCAGCATTTATTCACCCTTTGCCCCTCCAAAACCTCTTGTTTCTGTTTCCAGGAGTTCATTTTTACAAATACTATTTTATATGACCAGATGCACATAGGCATTGTGCCTTTGTGTTCCTCCCCTGGTCTCACTGTGAGTGAAAAGCTAGACTCCTGAAACTTTATTACATCCCAGTGTGTGTTAGACCCAGCTTCTGCCTATGAGAGAAAACATACGCCATTTGTCTCCCTGGTCTCGGCTTACCTCACTTAACATGGCTGGTTCTAGGGCCATCCATTTCCCTGCAAATGACATATTATTCCTTCTAATTGCTGTGTAAAATTCCTTGTGTACATGTATAACACAATTTTTGGATCCTCTCATCTATTGTAGGCATCTAGGCTGCTTCCATGACTTGACTATTGTGAACAGTGCAGCCATGAAGATGGATGTGCAAATAGAATTTATATCCTGCTATATTGCTAAAAGAGTTTATTGGTGGAGTCTTTAGGGTATTTGAATTATAGGCTTGTCATCTACATTTAGGGTAAATTTGACTTCTTCCTTGTCTATGTGTATCCACTTAATTTCCATGCATTGTTTTACTTGTCTGGCTAAGAATTTAAGCACTGTATTAAATAACAGTGGACAGTGTACCACCTTTGTCTCATTTCTGACTTTAGAAGGAATGGTGCAGTTTCTCTCACACTTAGTATGATGTTGGCTGTAGGTTGTCATATATAGCCTCTATTATGTTAAGGTATGTCCATTCTATTCCTAGTTTCTTCAGAACTTTTATCACCAAAGGATGTTGAATTTTGCCCTGCACAGGATGTGAAAACAGTTGTTCCTCCTCCTCCTTCTCTTCCCCACCTTCCTCCTCTCTTGTCTTTTGGTGCTGGAACTGGTATTTGAACTCAAAGCTTGGGTGCTGTCCTTTGGCCTTTTCACTTAAGGCTGGAACTCTACCATTTGAGACATGCTCCATCTCTAGCTTTTAATTTTAAGTCTCAGTCTTTTCTACCTGGGTTGGCTTTGAACGGTGATCCTCAGATCTCAGCTTCCTGAGTAGCTAGGATTACAGGTGGGAGTGGTGGTACCTGGCTGTCAATTGCCCTTCTTGAAACTTATATTTGCCAGACCAAAACACATAAAAATACCAACCATTCTTTTAACAGCAGGTATGCTCTGAAGATAAAAACTCCTGCCAGTGCTGGGGTTCTTTGAAGGAAATGCATATGGTGATGAGGCCAGTTGTATGTTTACTATTCTTTTACTGGAAACTTTATTTATGTCAAGGTGCTGCCTAGTAATTTATGGACAGATTTCAATCAAAAATTTTTTGGCATTAGATGAATCATGCATAAGAGGACAAAGTATTTAACTATGAGTTGAAAACTTGGGATTCTGTTCTCAACTTTTTATTTTTACTGATTGGGACTTGATTTTCTCATGTGTAACATGAGAGAGCTGCTGCCAGCTTTGCATCCTCTGGTTCCTGAGAATGTTCTAGATTCTTTTATTTTCCCTTTCTTTCTTTCTTTCTTTCTTTCTTTCTTTCTTTCTTTCTTTCTTTCTTTCTTTCTTTCTTTCTTCCTTCCTTTCTTTCTTTCTTTCTTTTTTATTCATTTATTCATTCATGTTTCTTTCCTTTTTTGTGTTGGTACTGGAACTCAGGGCCTGGGTGATCTCTCTCTCTCTCTCTCTCTCTCTTTTTCTCTCTCTCTCACCCTTCCTCCCTCCCTCCCTCCCTCCCTCCCTCCTTTCTTTCTTTTGTTCTTTCCTTTCTTTTTTTTTTTTTGCTCAAGGCTGGCACTCTACCAGTCACTTCTGGTTCCTCAGTAGTTAATTGGAGTCAAGAGTCTCAAAGACTTTCCTGCCTGGGCTGGCTTTGAGTCATGATCTTCAGTTTCAGCCTTCTGAACAGCTAGGATTACAGGCATGAGCCACCAGCTTCTGGCTATACCCTGTATTTTTTTTTTTTTTTTTTGGTCATGGGGCCTGAACTCTGAGCCTGGGTGCTGGCCCTCAGCTCTTCAGCTCAAGGTTAGTGTTCTACTACTTGAGCCACAGTGCCACTTCCGGCTTTTTCTGTTTATGTGGTGCTGAGGAATTAAACTCAGGGCCTCATGCATGCAAGGCAAGCACTCTACCACTGAGTCACCTTCCTAGACCTACCCTGTATTCTTGATCAGCTTTCAACACATATCATGGGGGAGGGGCAGGGTGGTGTTTGGAAAGCAATATAGAAGGTCATCTGAAAATCCACAATCTGGACTTGTAAACCATTCACTGTTTTCAGCCACATCTCAAAGATCTGAGTCGGTGTGAGCTCTGGGGTCTTTCTAAAGTTATCTAGAAACTGTTTCCTCACCCATACATGGGCATAAGCAGTGTCCTCATCATAGAACACGTGGTGTTCTTTGATGTGTGCTTGGTCCAGTCTACATTCTCAACATGTTTTAGCTATTAATCTCATTATAAGTCAGTGTGGCTAACATCACAGTAAACTAAGTACTAGAGACCTAAGTGATGAGTGTTACCCAGACAGACCAAGAAGACTGGGCCTTAACAAAGGAAAAGGCTCCGAAACCAGGAGCATCCTAGTAAAGGCAGTATATGGCAGCCCACATGCACATGTTAGTGGATTCTGCTGCAGAGGTGACGCCACATGTCCACAGCCTTCTCCTTCACACGGCCCCGCCCAGGCTTTGCTAGGGTCTTCCAGATGCTAAGACAGGAACAGCTGCCTTCAGGGAAAAGTCAGCTGTATGTTGAAATGTCGGAATTTCCTAGCATTTTCATTGTTTACAGGAAACAAAAGGCCAGTAGTTCAGAGAAATACTACTTATGCCAAAAGACATCTGAAGCCTCTTTCTTTCTTTCTTCCTTCCTTCCTTCCATCCTTCCTTCCTTCCTTCCTTTCCTTCCTCCTATTGTTGCTGGGCCTGAGCTCTGTCCCTGAACTTTTTTGCTCAATGCTACCACTCTACCACTGAGTTACAGTTCTACTTGTGGCTTTTTTTGTTGGTGAATTGGAGATAAGAGTCACAGTCTTTCCTGCTCAGGATGGCTTTAAACTGTGATCCTCAGATCTCAGCCTCCTGGGTAGCTGAGATTATAGACATGAGCCACCAGTGCCCAGCTCAGCTGAAGTTTCTGAACTTGTTTTATGCACAGCCCCAAAATAATCAAGCCTGAAGAAGTAACAGATCTGCTCCTAATGTCAGTGCCCAGGGAGGTTCTACCAGACATGTCAGTCCCAGAGGAGGGACATTGGTCCCATGGGAATTATCTTTCAATAAATAAACTGGATATGCCATGTGAAATAATAAAGTAGGCCAGGAATGGTTGCTCTTACTTATATTCCCAACGACTTAGCTACACAATAAGCCAAGGAGGGTGGTACACATCTTTGATCCCAGCTGTGGGGGAAGCTATGAGGAGGATCTTAGTTTGATACCAATCTTGGGCAGAAATTTAAGACTCTACCTGAAAAAGCAAAAAGGGCTAATTAAGGGTGTGGCTCAAATGGTAGAGCACCTGCCTAGCAAGCATGACATCCTGGGTTCAAACCCCAGTACCACCAAAAACAAAACGAAAGCAAAAGAAAGAATAAGGTAGAACCCTTCTATGTTATAAAGATGTAATTATAAAGATTCATTCAAAATGGACCAAAGATCTAAATGTAGGTGCTCAAATCAATAAAAGTCTTAGAAGAAAACATAGGCAAACCCTTATGACCTTGGAGGAAGCAAGGGTTTCTGAGATATAGCACTAGTATAATATAGAGCAAGAGGCAAAAGAAAAAAATGATAAATTCAACTTCATAAAAATGAAAAACTTTCGTGTTTCAAAGGTTATTATCAAGTGAAAAGACAGACATTTAAATGAGAAAAAATACTTGTAGACACTGTAGTATTATTCATCATAACTGAAACATGGAACTAAGCCAAATGTCCCTGCGCTGATGGATGGGTTAAATGCATTCATGTGATAAGTCCTACATGGGTGCTGTTCAACTGTGACAGGGAAGGAAAGAATGGTACCTATTACAAGCATTAGTGAACCTTGAAAATATAATCTGAGTATAACAAGCCAGAGAGGAAAGGCCACAGCCTGGGTACTGTCCCTGAGCTCTATCCGCTTAAGGCTGGCACTCTACCACTTTCAGACACAATGCCACTTCTGGTTTCCTGGTGGTTAATTGGAGATAAGAGTCTCACAGACTTTCCTGCTGGCTTGGCTTTGAACTGTGATACTTAGATCTCATCCTCTCTGAGTAGCTAGGATTTACAGGCATGAGTCCCAGTGCCTGGTGAAAGGCCACCTTTCTAATGATTCTATTTATAAATAAAGCTGGAGGTCAGTAGTACGCTGAGGAGTAGAGCAGGCATGGTTCCAGGGAGCCCCAACCTCTTGGGAGTGGTGGATGAGTTCATAGAGACACAGCATCTGTAGCTTACAGAACATTCACGCTCATCTTGCTGGGCTATTTCCTTGGCTTGTAATTGGAAGGGGGAGAGAGTTGAGGTGCTGCCTGCTGAACGGAAGGCGCTGTGTAAACCTGTTTTGGAATATCCAGGTCTGAAGGAGAGGCAACCCCATTTGAAAAAGGCAGAATGCTGGTTACTGTGGATTTTGTATGCAGCCTGGGCCTGACTTCTTGCCGCTCTTTAATTGGCGACAATATTCTAAGACCTTCCAGCTCTTCCAGCCTGAGATAACAAATAAGAGTCATCCTCTCCAGGAGAGGCCTGGGCCTGTGTTCTCACCAATGTAACAGCTGTTGATCTTAGGAGTCTGGCACAGAAGGACAGACACCATGTGGAGATCATCTGAAAAATTAATGTTTCCTCTTTGTCAGGTATTATGCTGATACTGGAGCCTCCTATTTAATGTATTTTCTCATTTAGTTGTGTGTATGTGTGTGCGTGTGTGCGCCAGTAATGAGGTTAGAACTCAGGGCCTCACATTCTTCCTTAGTTTTTTCTGCTCAAGGCTGGCACCCTACCACTTGACCCATTCCTCTACTTTTGGTTCTTTGCTGGTTAATTGGATATGAGTTTCATAGTTTTCTGTCCAGGCTGACTTTGAACTGTAATCCTCAGATCTCAGCTTCCTGAGTAGCTAGGATAATCATTTGTAGTTCTTAAAACCGCTTCACAAAGTGACCAAACAGACAAACCCTAAGGCCTAGACTGGTTCAGTAACTTGTCTAAGACTACATGAGCAGGCTTTCTGATTTTTCTTTTTGCAATCATTGTGGTTTTGTTTGTAAACTTTGCGATTTTCTATTTATAGTGTACTCTTCAGTGACCAAAAATGGAGGTCTGCTCCCAATTGTTCTGGGTCTAGCATTTAAATAAACGCCTTTAAATAAACATGGGACTGGCTGACTGATAGTGATCACAAATGGCTGCCCTTCAGTGTCTCTCCAGTCTCTCCTCCAATGAGAATCTGCCACTAAGAGCTCCCTGCCAGACCCTCCTGCTCCCAGAATCTCTCCTGCCTGCCCTGCTCTCCAGGAGCTCCTATGGCATTTTCAGTTCTCTTCCCACACAGCACTCAGACGTGTGGGTGTTCACCCAGATGCCTTTGACGCTGAGTACTTTCCCCAGTGCCTAGAGCAGCAATGTTGTGCATAATTGGTGCTAAAGGAAAAACTCCTGGTGGAATTAATGAGTGGGTAAATGATTAATATCACCTACAGCAAATGCTTTTAGGTTACTTATTATGAGTCAGGCATGGGAAATAAAGGAAATTTTCACTAAATAAATAACAAGTAACTAATACTTTATACTTTGGGGGAGAGGCTTGTGTTATTTGTGGCGTCAATGAAAATTAGCCTTTTAAAAATAAATTTAAAAATCCCTGTATTGTGCTTGAACTCAGAACCTCATGCACTTTGCTCAGCTTTTTTGGCTCACAAATGATGCTCTACTTCTTGGACCATGCCTGTAGTTTGTTTTCTTTTCTTTTCTTTTCGGTCTGGGATCAGGACTCTAACTTGATACCCGATGCTTTTGCTCATTGGCTGGTTCTGTACCAACTGAGCCACTGCTCCAACCCCTATTCTAGCATTTTGCTGATTGGCTAGAGAGGGAGTATCATGGCTTTTCTTCTAAGGGCAGGATTCCAGGGATTCCAGGTATGAACCTTGGGTGACAGACTCAATTAAGATTCTAGAAGGGATGTTACATGACAAGCTTAGAAGTTACATAAGGACAGTAATATCACTCTGCTTTGCATCCTGCAGTTGACAAATCATATCACTCACTGGACCTCATTTTGTCTCCCAGAAGACATCTGAGACAAGAAAATGAGACACTCAAACTCTACTTGATAAGCAGACTGTAAGCCAGAAAGAGCCACAAAACTGCAACCCAAAGCCATGATTGTAAATTCCCTACAGGCCACAGTTACATTTTATGGTCTATGCAATTATTTTGTAAAAATTGGGTTGCATGGCAGTATTTTCTTTTCTTTTCTTTTTTTTCTGGTTGTGGGGCTTGAACTCTGGGTCTAGGCACTGTCCCTGAGCTCTTCAGCTTAAGGCTAATGCTCTACCACTTGAGCCAGCACCACTTCTGGTTTTCTGGTGGTTTATTGGAAATAAGAGTCTCATGAACTTTCCTGTTTGGGCTGGCTTTGAACTTGGATCCTCAGATCTCAGCCTCCTGAGTAGCTAGGATTACAGATGTGAGCCACTGGCACCTGGCTGCATGACAATATTTAAAGCCTGGCAGACTGCATAAAAGTCTATACTTGTAGTTCCTCTTAACAAGATGGGAGTTATGACAACTCTGGATTCTGTAGTGGTTACCACTTGATAACCACTAGTGTAGTAGTAGTTACTACTTGATAACTAATACAGTAGAGGGAACTGGTTAATATGTCAGGCCTCCTCTGTTCCACCCTCTATAGTTTGCTGTCTCTCAGGGTCAGTTAATGTCCTTGGTGTGACCTCTGCTACTCCATCTGCATTCTGTTACACGGGCCTCATCTCCCTTACTGGGAGAGTTCTATAGTTCCAGTATCCACTGTGTGGCTTAGGTCTTGATTCAGCACTGGCTCATTCTTTCTCTCTTCTCTCAACCTAAGCCTCACCCCTATTTACACAACCCTGACCATGGCCCTGGATAGTGCCCTGGACACTGCCTGGAGCTCCACCCACATAAGGTGCCTCTGAGACGCCCAAGACAAAGCCAGGGGAGAAGGTGGAGAAACACACAGGCATGGTGGGAGCAGCTGCTCACCATCAACCACATCCTGTTCCTGCTCCATCGTGGAGATTCTTCCATCCACGGTCCCCTTCCCGGGGATCTGGGAGCTCAAGAGGCAGTCACAGAGATTCTGTCTTGAGTTTGGAAAAGGATATGGAATAAGAGAATGACCTGTCCGTGTGTGTGTGTGTGTGTGTGTGTGTGTGTGTGTGTGCCACATGCACACACACCTGCACACGTGCACATGCACATGTACATGTGCCAGTCCTGAGGCTTGAACTCAGGGCCTAGGTGCTATCCCTTAGCTTTTTCACTCAAAGCTCATGCTCCACCACTTGAGCCACACCTCCACTTCCGGCATTTTGGTGGTTAGTTGGAAATAAGAGTCTGATGGACTTTACTGTCCAGGCTGGCTTTGAATCATGATATTCAGATCTCAGCTTCTTGAGTAGCTACAATCACCTGTGGGAGGAACCAGCACCTGGTTTGACTTGTCCTTTCTACCTTGCAGAACTCTGGAGGACTCAAATGATATAATGGATAAGAAATTGCCTCATAAAACACCACAAAAATTGAAGGAATTGTTACGCAATTGTTTTCATTGGAAAATCTAAACTGGGTTCCAAACTAATCACTTCAACTGTTGAATACAATGATGGCAGACATTTGTTGCTTTCCTTTTACCTGAATGGCCCCTTCTCTTCTGGGAATAACATCTCCCACTCCTCTTCCTCTGGAGAAATGCTGCTTTTTAACTCCAAAATGTCAGCACTCCTGGGGCCACGCCATTATTCTACTGGCAGATCACCAGGATGGAGGTGGGACCCAGGCTTGGCCAATCACAGTGGATCCTTTTCTCCTGAGTCACAATGATTGGTCTTGGGAATCTGTGACTGAAGTCTGATCAATCATTGTTCTGCTTTGAGATTTCGACATCTTGAAATACCAAGAAAACTCCCTTTCCTGCCCCTGAAGGAGGTAGGGCAGGGGTGACATCACATTTCTTTGGGGATGTTATGACAATGTATTTTGGACTGAGTAACTTATAAGCAATAGGAATTGATTACTCATGGTTCTAGAGGCTGAGAAGTCCAAGATCAAGATGGCAGTGGATTTAATGTCTGCTGAGGATCTGCTTTCTGGCTCACAGATAGTGCCTTTTCACTATGTTCTCACATGGTAGAGGGGCCTATGTTAGGCCTCATGTTGGAGGGCACTAACCCCATAATAAGGGCTCCACAGCTGGGTGCTGATGGCTCATACCTGTAATCCTAGCTACTCAGGAGGCTGAGATCTGAGGATCATGGTTCAAAGCCAGTCCAGCCAGAAAAGTCTGTGAGACCCTTATCTCCAATTAACCACA